CGAGCCAGGCACAGGAGAGAATCCCCTGGTCTGCCGGTTGCTAAGACAGTGGGAAAAGCACAGTATTTGGGCGGAAGTGTCCCATTTTTTCAGGTACAATCTGTCACAGCTTCCCTTGGCTAAGAAAGGGAAATCCCCAGACTCCTTGCGCTTCCCAGGTGAGGCAATGCTCCACCCTGCTTCAGCTCACCCTCCGTGGGCTGCACCCACTGTCCAACCAGCCCCAGTGAGATGAACCAGGTACCTCAGTTGGAAATGCAGAAATCACCCGTCTTCTGTGTCAATCACTCTGGGAGCTGCAGACCAGAGCTCTTCCCACTTGGCCATCTTGGAGCAGACCTCAATTTTTTGTATTTTTTAGTAGAGACGGGGTTTCTCCATGTTGGTTGGGCTGGTCTCGAACTCCTGACCTCAAGTGATCTGCCTGCCTTGGCCTCCCAAAGTGCTGAGATTACAGGCATGAGCTACCTCACCCAGCCTATTTCTTGCCTTAACTCAATATGCCCTTGTGTCAGGCTAAAAGACATGGTTCTCCAAAACTATATTTACTTCCTAATTGTCAGAACCTGTGATTATTACCTCACCTGGAAAAAGAGTAAATATTACCTTCTGAAGCAAGAGATGTGATGAAGGATCTTGAGAGGAGACATTTACCCTGAATTACCCAGATAGGCCCCAAATGCCCTAAATCACATGTATAAACACTTTTATAAAAAAGAGAGCCAGGCAGAGGTTTCACCCAGAGAGAGACAGAGGAGAAAGTAATGTGAAGACAGAGAGAGAGATTTCAGTGATGTAACAAGTCAAGGATTGCCAGCAGAAACTGAAAGAAGCAAGGAACTGAATCTCCCCTACAGCTTGTGGAGGGAGTGAGACCCTATTGACATCTTGGTTTTAGAATTCTGGCCCCCAGAAATGTGACAGAATATGTTACCAAGTTTGTGGTAATTTGTCATGGTAGTCAGAAGAAACTAATATAAATTTGGTATCAAGGAGTGAGGTGCTGCTATAACAAATACCCCAAAATACAGAAGTATCATCCAAGGAATGTCCAAGTTATATGGTTTGGATGTTTGTCCCCTTCAAATCTCATGTTGAAATGTGACCTCCAGTGTTGGAGGTGAGACTTGGTGGGAGGTATTGGATCACAGAGGGAGATCTGTAATGAATGACTTAGTGCCATCCCCTTGGTGATATGTGAGTTCTCCTTCAGTTCACACAAGATTTGGTTGTTTAAAAGGGTGGGAGACCTCACCTTGCTGTCTCTTGCTTGCTCTGTCATGTGACATGCCTGCTCCCGCTTTGTCTTCTGCCATGGGTAAAAGCTCCCTGAGGCTTCACTGGGAGCTGAGCACATGCCAGAGCCATGCTTCCTGTACAGCCTGCAGAACCATGAGCCCATTAAACCTCTTTTCTTTGTAAATTAGCTAGTCTCAAGTATTTCTTTTTTTTTTTTTTTTTTTTTAATAGATGGAGTCTCACTCTGTCACACAGGCTGGAGTGCAGTGTTGTGATCTCAGCTCACTACACACTACAACCTCCACCTCCAGCGTTCAAACAATTCTCCCTGCCTCAGCCTCCCAAATAGCTGGGAGTACAAGCACCTGCTACCATGCCCGGCTAATATTTGTATTTTTAGTAGATACTGGATTTCACCATGTTGGCCACGCTGGTCTCAAACTCCTGACCTCAAGTGATCCTCCTGCCTCAGCCTCCCAAATTGCTGGGATTACAGGTACCTGGCCAGGTGGATTTCTTTAGAGCAACACAAAAATGGCCTAATACACCAAGGAATTAGGTAATAGGTAGAGGCTGGAAGAATTCTGTGAAGCATCATAGAAAAAACCTAGAATGCCCTGAAGTCACTGGTGGTAGAAATATGGCTATCAAGTATGCTGTTGGTGAGGGCTCAGAAGGAAGTGAGCAGCACAGTAGAGAAAGCTTCTATTGAGATTGCGCCATTGCACTCCTGCCTGGGCAACAGAGCAAGACTGTTTCAGAAAAAAATAGAAAGAAAGCAAGCTTCTATCAGTCATCTTTGAAAATATGTATGCTATCTTGAGCAGAATGTTGGCAAAAATATGAGCATTGTAAGTACTTCTGGTACAGGCTTAGAAGGAAATACAGAGCACATGATTGAGAAATGGAGGAAAGATGATCCGTGTTACATAGTGGCAGTGAGCTTGGCTTAATTGTGTCCTATAGTCATGTGAAAATTAGCAGAACTTGCCAATGATTAACTCGGATATTTAGCTGAGGAGAGTACCAAGTAAAATGTTGAGGATGCGGACTGTTATCTTCTTTCTGTTCAGAGTAAAACTGTGAGAGAAAATAGATACATTCAGGAAGGAACTGTTAAGCAGAATTTTCAGTAATTTGTTATGGTAACCAAAGTAAACTGATAAAGCTCTTAAGTGAAGAGAGGAATATCTTCTCATATTATTCAGAAATGCCAATGCATGGATCCTTTGTGTAGACTAATATTAGTTTAGACAGTCTATTTTAAGTTACCATTAGATCACTACATCAAGACACTGAATCAAAATGTGTTATTTTAATTATATGTCACTTGAACATTTAGGACATGCTCCTATCAGCCCTCAATTTATTTTTTTTTAATATTGGCCTCAAATAATAAGAATAAAATAACTTTATCTTGAGCTCAAGTTCTTTTTTTTTTTTTTTTTTTTTTTTTTTTTTTTGAGACGGAGTCTCGCTCTTTCACCCAGGCTGGAGTGCAGTAGCCGGATCTCAGCTCACTGCAAGCTGGGCCTCGCGGGTTTACGCCATTCTCCTCCCTCAGCCTCCCGAGTAGCTGGGACTACAGGCACCCGCCACCTCTCCTGGCTAGTTTTTTGTATTTTTTAGTAGAGACGGGGTTTCACCGGGTTAGCCAGGATGGTCTGGATCTCCTGACCTCGTGATCCGCCCGTCTCGGCCTCCCAAAGTGCTGGGATTACAGGCTTGAGCCACCGCCCCCGGCGAGCTCAAGTTCTTAAACTCACCGATCAATGATTTGTGAGTCGTTCTTTTGTTTGTTGGTTGGTTGGTTTCTTTGCATTTTGTTTTATTTGTTTGTATTTTAAGACATGGATTCTTGGGCCCTCTGCAAACCTTGTACATCGATTTTCTGGGGCTGAGGATTGGATGTTTATGTTTTTCTAAGGCTTTGTCAATTGTTATGATAACCATTTAAGAAACCACTGATATTATGAAACATAGCTGGATTTGTCTGCCATTTCTTAAGTACTCCCTATGTGTCAGATATATATTAGATGAGCTTTACATAATATTTATAGGTAATCTTACAGGTACATGTTTAATTTCAGCTTTGTAGTTGGCAAATTGAGGTTCAAAGAAGTAGTAAAGCTGTTCCAAATCCGTAATTAGAAAAACTGATATTTGAGCACATATCTATTTCCAAAACCCATTCTCCTACAGAAAAACCAGCAGTAAAGTGAAAACATTATTTGTTCACATTTCCTTATATATCCTTTCTAGGTGGATGATGTGGGTAAGTCATTTAACTTCCCAAGATTTAGTTTGCTCTATTTGAAGAAGTGTATAATAATATGTATCTCAAGCAGTTGTCATGAAGACCGAATTCAATTATGTACAGAATAGCACTCTGGCAACACTAGAGTGCCATGCAAATGTGATTTGCTTTACTATGGTTTTTGCTCTTACCTATTTTTATTTATGGAATAAGTAAAGTGTAACCATGTTATTTGGCAGAAGTGCCAGCTCTCACAAAATGCTGTATCTACTGCCAGCTGCTTCTATTCTTGTGGATCTAAGGCTTCCTCAATGGTTACTTTTGGAGCCAGACTGGATCAGTGTTCATATCCCAGCTCTGCCATTTACTAACAGTAGAATCATGGACTAGTCTTTCCATGATTTTGATTATTCACCAATAGAAAGAGAAAGAGATGCTGGTAATTTGAGGTCGACATTGAAATAATATGGAATGCTTATAATGTTTATGATCATCATCATTAATGATCACATTACTGACAGTAGCTGTGTTAGTAAGATGGAAAATACATTTTGTGAGGTTCTACTAGACACTGCCTATGAAGAGTGGCACAGGCAGGGGGTGAAAGAATGCCAGCAGTGAGGCAGTGTATTCCGCAGGGCATGGGAAAAAACCCAGGCCAGTTGCAACCCACCTGAATACTAACTCCCACTGTAGCCTGGATTGCATTCCTATGCCAGCAAAATGGTTTTTCAACTGTGGCTATTCTGTAGCAGAGTATCAACAAGGGAGCCGCAGATAGGGAAGCTGAAAAGAGTTTAATTATTTGGCACATATATATTATGCCATAAGTACATACACAAGCAGAATGGGACAAAAGAATAGATCCCGTGGCACTTGGCAGATGACCAGTTGGAAAGGCAATCATAAACTACTTGGGAACATTAAATAAGTCAGAATGCTATCTTCTAACATATAAACTAGTAATGATAGCAGTAACTACCATTTCATAAATTCCTGTGCCAGGAACCCTGCTAGGCTTTGTATGTACATTATCACTAGGCTACAAAACTCTATTGAATAAGAACCATTTATTACCTCATTCTACAGATGAGGAAATTGAGGCACAGAGAAGTTAAAGAAGGCATTAATGGTTAAAGACCTGAGAAATATTGGCCATGAGATTTAAAATAGAGTCTAACTATCTGTAAAGCCCATGTCCTTTCCACCGCAGTGTGATGTCTCCATGGGACATTCTCATGTCTTGCATCTCTAGTCCTTTTATAACAACCACTGTTACAGGTAATCCTTCTGCTTTTTTATTTTGCATGTACCCCTCCTCAAGAAAAGGTACATGATAAATAATAAAATCATCGTTGGTATATACAAATAGATGATTGATAGACCAGACAGATCGATGACAGACTGTGTGTGTATATGCACACCATCACACTCTGTGACTTTTTAAACTATCTTGTGGATCTCCTTAGCATATCTCTTGTGCTCTGCTTATATTCCGGCCCAGATGTACAGAGCAGCTAGTTCACAATAACCTCCCAACCACCAGTGTCATCATGTGCTTTGTGGATGAAGTGTGGTCCACTCTCCTGAGATCTGTTCACAGTGTCCTCAATCGCTCTCCTCCATACCTCATCAAGGAGATTCTGCTGGTAGATGACTTCAGCACCAAAGGTAAGAAAACCACTCGGGCTATCTCTTGAAATGTCAAAGTTTGGTGGAAGCAAAGTTTGGTAGCAGTTTGGATGGCAAAATTACAAGATAATTTGATGAAGCATAAACATTGTACAAATGCATTGTTTTATGTGGAGCCTCAGAGACATAAGTCTAAGCATCCGTGGACATTAAAAGTCATCTGGAGCTCTATTCAGTTAGTTGTCTCAGTTGTAACTCTCCTACCATGTTGGAATGATCTTCTAACTATGGCTCCTTGGAGATGGGTACTTTGAAGTACTGGAGTTTAGATGTCCTCTACAATTGCATAAATCTCTTTTAATGGAATCACAATTAAAGGGAGGCCTTGCCTACTGGTAATAACTAGAGTTACAGTTAGACTTTATGGAAGGCAAAGAAATTGAGGTCTTATGGCTTCTTCCTTGAGAGCAAGGCATATGATGTGTTCAGTTAAGTGTTAAGAAGACAAATTGCCAATAGGACAAGAGAGATGAGGTGACTCCAATAAAGTTCAAAAGAAGAATCCACCATAGCCTTTACATTCATTTTTGTTTATTACAGTGAAGAATCTCACTCTTTAGGTTGTCAAATAACTTGTGTGTGTAGGTGGTCTGACAGCCACATTACAAATTCCCAAAATGGAACCCATTTTTCAGAAAAGTTTAGAAAATAGCAAAGACTTGGCAATGCTAATATATTTAGCCTTAAGCTAAGTCTTAGCCTTGAGCTGTGACCACAGCAACATGGGAAGTTTCTTTAGCTTCAGAGTTTCTACCATAATCACATTGAGCTCAAGAAACTGTGGGATGACAGAGAAAAACTGGCTGAAAACATAAAACGTGGCCTTGAAAGCATAAACAAAAATAGCACCCAATTAGAAAGTAGATAAGAGTCCCTTCATGAGGGGTAGGTCCAGATTCTGTGGGACCTGAAGCTTATTCAGTTTTCAGAGTCCTAAGAAAAACTTTCTTAGAAAGTTTTCTGGAAGCCATTCCGACCTAGGATAGCTGTCAATAGCTTAATTACACACAGAAGTGACTATAAGTCACATAAACATGGCTCATAAAGCCCCCAGAAAACTGTTCCTTTAGCTGGATCCCTCCATAGCCATCTAATAAGACAGAAAAGGTGTAATGGAAGGGGATGTCAGAGTAGGAAATGAAAGGGTCTTATTTGCACACATTGTGTAGCCTCTTCCTTGGGTCATGGAAAGGGCTTTTGCAAGAGGTGGGGCTGAGAGTAGAAGCAGAATTGTGCAGAAGCCTGAGCTATATTTATTTTAAGGCCAATCCTCCCCTACCTTGACAAATACTCAGAAAGGTGTGCCCTCCACTGTATCACCTTGCAACACTGAAAACAAAGATTTGGGGTTTGAAAAATCAGACAGCTTTGAATATTGAAACGAGACAGAATCCTTCCAAGAAAATGACATCAGAAAATAAAATTATGACCCAAGGAATAAAATTCAGTGATGATGGTAATGTCATAGTTTTTGGCATTTGACTTCGGAAGGCACTTCTGATACTATCCAGACTTAGCTAATTCAAGTGTTCCTGGTTTATCTTTACTCTGATGTAGACTACCTAAAAGATAATTTGGATAAATACATGTCCCAGTTTCCAAAAGTTCGGATTCTTCATCTCAAAGAGAGACATGGCTTAATAAGGGCCAGGCTGGCAGGAGCACAGAATGCAACAGGTAAGAAGCTACTCATTTTTTTGTGTGTTACATTTTGTTTTAATTTAAAATGTTTCTCAAACATACAGAAAATGTGAAAGACCAGCACAATGATGCCTATGTATACATCACTTAGTTCCATCAGTTTTAAAGTTTTTATAATATGTGCTCTATCATAAACACACATAGACACCTATTATATATACTTTTTTCCTGAACCTTTGAAAAAGAAGTTACAGACATCATCATACTGCACCCCTAAGGACCTCAGTAGGCGTCTCTGAAGAACAGGAGCATTCTCTTAAATAAGCACAGCTTTCATAACTAAATATGATACCTACTATATGCTATTTTCAAGTTTTGTCATTGTTCCCAAAATGTTTTTGGTTTTGGAATTTTTTTTTGGTTTTTTTTGTTTTGTTTTTTTGTTTTTTTGACAGAGTCTCCCTCTGATGCCCAGGCTGGAGTGCAGGCTGGAGTGCAGTGGCGCCATCTCAGCTCACTGCAAGCTCCACCTCCCAGGTTCAGGCCATTCTCCTGCCTCAGCATCCCAAGTAGCTGGGACTACAGGCACCCGCCACCACGTCTGGCTAATTTTTTGTATTTTTAATGGAGATGGGGTTTCACCACATTAGCCAGGATGGTCTTGATCTCCTGACATCGTGATCCACCTGCCTCAGCCTCCCAAAATGTTGGGATTACAGGCTGCAAAACGTTTTTTTAAAATTCAGGAACTAATTAAGTTTCATACCCTGCATTTGATAGTTTGGTCTTCTTAGTCTAGAATAGTCAACTCCTCACACTTTGCTTAAACATTTGTGTGTGTGTGTGTGTGTGTGTGTGTGTGTGTGTGTGTGTGTGTATTTTAAGTTCATGCCATTTGTTTGGTACAACTGACCATGTTCTGAAATTTTCGATTTCCTCTTGTTACCTGCAGGATAAATGTTTTTGGAGTGAAAATATTATATAGAATGCTACTACATAGGTGATAGAAATGGTATACATCTCATCAAGAGGCATATAATATAACATAATATCACCAGTATTGTTGATACTAACTTTGAGAAGTTAGTTAAGATATTGACAGCTAGATCTTTACTTTGGGAGTAAGAAGTAATTTGTGGAATGATACATTAACCCATGAGAATATTCTGTTTTTCTTACAATGTTTTACCCAATGGTTTTTAGTATCCATTGATGATCCTTGCTTAAATCAATTATTACACTGAGGACTGAAAAATTGCTTTTCTATAATTCATTCTTTTTTATTTAGCTGGCACTCATGTGTAAGGAAAAAAATCTCTATCTCTCCCTCTCCTGTTTTCTAACTCTTCCTCCCTTCCCCCTCAACCTCCCTCTCCCCTCCCTCTCATCCCCTCACCAATATGGATTTATGGCTTAGAAGTTAAATGTGTATTATATCACCATTATTCTTGTTGGTGTTCAAATTGTCCCAAATTTGGTCACTAGGAGCTTCTTCAAGCCTGCGCTTTTTTGACCTGACCAATCAGTATTTCAAGATTTCATAAAGTTTTAATTCTACAATCCTCACCCCTCTCTTCTCTGACCCATGTCTGTTCTTCCTAGGTTTTTTCTGCCTTCCCCAAAGGCCATATGCCTTCTTTTCCCCTCCTTTTTTTAGTGTGCAGGTGTTGTTGAGTGAATGAGAAGTGAATCTATTTTATGAGTATTCTACAAACAACATCAAACATTTGGGTTCATGCTCATAAGTTTCTAAGGAAGGATCTGTGCCCTGTGATACTAGCTGACTTATATGCTAGGTGCCATTCTGAATACTTCATATATTAACTGATTGAATCCTCACAATAACTCTATGAGATGGGTACAATCACATCCTCATTCTACATATGAGAATATAGAGTTGCAGTGAGGCTGTGCCTTATGCAAGCTCACCCATCTAGTCAGTGGTAAATCCAAAGCTGGCACCTGAATGCCCTGACTCCAGAGGCCATCCTCTTATCTACTACACCTTGAGGGCTCTAGACACTTAGTCACTACTCCGGCCCTGTACGCCCTGCTTTTACAGTTCTTCACCAGCTTAAATTCAAGCATGTTCTGATGGGAAATTATCTGCTTACGTGAGTTTAATTTTCTCGTAACTGGACCCCATATTTGAAGCTCTTCTCATTTCATTGGGTTGCTAACAAATGTCTTCTCTTTGTAGAGGAAATTTTAAGTGAACAACAAATACATCACACCAAAATTGGCATTGCAGTGACAGTTAAGATTCTTGATGAGAGACTGCATTCAGAAAAATCTAATGGCATTCCATGCTTAATTTCCTTTGGAAAATAATTATCTATAAATGATGTACAAATAGGATACTCAAGAACTAGTTTAAGTAGGAACTTTTGAGCTGAGGTCTGGGTGAAGACTATTCCCAAGCAAATGGAACAAGAAGTACAAATGTCCTAATGAAGAAATGAGCTTGGCATATTCAAGGTAAAGAAATAAGTTCATTTTGACTCATGGGTGCTGACCATGGGGAGAGTCATAAAAGATTCATTTGGGGGGAAAGAAAAAAGCAAGTTTTTCTAAAGTTTTGTGCATCACTTAAAGATTGTAGGCATTATTCTCAGTATAAGGTGAAGCCAGTGAAGAATGTTAAATGGGAACAAAACTGTCTAATGTACATTTTGAAAGTTCATTTTGGCCACTGTGTAGATAATGGATATTAGGAAGATGAAAAATGAAGCAGGGAAGCCAGTTAGGAGGCTATTTTAGTTGTCCAAGTACCAGGGAGGTGCCAGGGTAAATGGGAGAAATGGTCAGCTTCATCATAGATTGTGCACATGGAACGTATAGGACTTGCCATCAGATAGGATGTGAAGAGAATGAGAGCAATCAGAAACAAACCCTAGGACTGGTATCTGAACAGCTTGGTGGGTAGTAGGCTCAAAATTGGAGGAGCAGGTTTGGAATTGCAGTTGAGTTTTGATTTTGTCCATATAAATTTGAGATGAAAATTAGATATTCACATGCAGAAAGTAGAATACAGAACCAAATATGGATTACTTATTTAAAAATATTCTCTCTGCCTGCATGGAGCACAGAGTATGCTAGTAATGGCCTCCGACACAGTCCAAACTATTAGACGACATGGGTGGCGTGTCTTAGAAGGGGTGTTATGAGCTTGATTAAAGCAGTTGCAACTGCTTGCTCAAGTGTTTGCAGTTACATTCATAAAGTAATTTCTTTGAATTTAGCAAATCTGAATGTAAATTCAGATTCATTAACACCCTTGAGAATATTAGCTCAGTAACTTTCAAACCATTTTGATGATGACTTGTGTAGAAATAAATTTTTCATCACAATTCACTACATGTGTAATCACACATATAACTACAGTAGACATTTTATCAAATAACATATGGAATAGATTCTAATATCTTCTTTTCTATGTTATTTATTTTTTAGATCCTGGCCAATCTCAATAAATTGATTTAGTGATTGATTCACTAAGAGGATCTACAGCTCTCAGTTTGAAAAACCCCAGCTAGGTGTATCTTAATTGCTTGCCACTGCCTAGTAGAGTGATGCTTCCCAAACTATCTAAAAAGGACTTTTTTCCCCTAATTTCCATTTTTTTATTGACCTACCCCTTTGTAAATTATAACAAATATTAATTACTCAAAAAGGAAAGTAGATATATAAAACACAAACCCATTTTTATTATATATAAAATATATATGGCTGGGTGCAGTGGCTCACGCCAGTAATCCCAGCACTTTGGGAGGCTGAGGCAGGCAGATCACCTGAAGTCAGGAGTTCGAGACCAGCCTACCCAACATGGCAAAACCCTGTCTCTACTAAAAATACAAAAAATTAGCCAGGAGTGGTGGTGGGTGCCTGTAATCCCAGCTACTCAGGAGGCTAAGGCAGAGAATCTCTTGAACCCGGGAGGTGGAGGTTGCAGTGAGGTGATATCACACCACTGCACTCTAGCCTGGGCAACAAGAGCAAAACACTGTCTCAAAAAAAAAATTATATATATATATATATATATGCATATGTATCTACATATATATAAAAACAGTTAATAAATAATAAATTTATAAATTTGGCAAATTGCTATAAAGTTTCAAAATATTTGTTCTCAATTTCTATTGCTATCTCCCTGTAGACAGAAGGGTCTGTGACCTACACTTTGAGCAGCATTAGTGGAGCTTAGGTACTTGAGAGTTTGGAAAGAAGAAAGGTGTGTCTCGATGTATCCTTGCCCAGGGATACATCCAATGCCAGGAAGTACACCTGTCCCCTGTGGGGAATTCAAGGCAATGCAGGATCAGTTTTAGCAGAGAATGTAATTCAGAGACTGGCATTGAGCAGAGATGGCAGGCGGGGTGGGTCCTCTCAAACTCCCCTGGGTGTGCCACAGCTCTCAAGAGTAGAGATAAGTAAGAGACTAAGAGCCTCCTGAAGAGTTCCTGTAAATTAGAGGTCAGCAAAGACAGCAGACAAAAATTTTCTCGAGGATGCCTCACCAAACAAAGAGTTTAAAGATAAGAATCTGAGTCCAGAATCTGACAGGCCTTGGCGCAACTGTTCCCTAAAGATTTGCCCTTTAGGACTCAAAAGGGAATTAACAGGCAAGGGTGAGATCCAGAGATCCAAAGACATGCAAAAATAGAAGTCAGATGGCCTATTTTGGTCCCATGGTATTATGAGGCTCTCTAAAGGTCTGCAGGAGGCTCTCTGAAAGTCTGCAATCATCTGCAAAATAATAAGGGGCCAAGCACTGATCTGCCTTACCATTAGCGATGTCTACTATGCATTCCATTTCCAGGGCATGTTAGTTCTTCATCTGAATCTATTTCAGGCAAAAAGATTAGGTCCAATCAGTTGCTTGCTGTGAATGAGGAGGTTGAGAGGCCCAAGTAGGATTTCAAAATTTGACAGGTAGGCCAGGGGCAATGGATCTCTAAGAATTGCTCACTCTATGAAGCCAACAGAATTAAAAATATGCAGTAAATGAAATATCAGGGAACAAGTAGATCACCCACATTCCTTCCTAGTATGGAACAGACCAAGTGATTTACTGCCCTGCCAAGAGGAGTTACAGTCAGGCAGTAGAGAGTCAGAGTAAATATTAGGTTTTCATTTCCTTCATGACATGGCGTTTAGCAAAATTCCTGACATTTCTATGAGCATTCTAAATAATCACTTGGCTAACTTTAAGTAACTAGACAGGTGACATCTAACTCCTAGCAAACTCCAAGGTCTCCTAAAAAGCAACAGTAGACATCTTTCTGCAAACTTTTATAACTTGTATCTGCTGCAGGTAAAAATTATTTCCTTAGCGTTACTTAGGAGGCATTATGTAAAATTAAATGGCATGCCAAGCCAACATCCCTCGAGGAACCCTTGACATAACCATCCAGCATTAACTGGTTCTGCAGCAATATTCCAGGCTGGTACACTGGATATAAGTGGGGGTCCATGCTCAACAAGGACCCAAAATTGTTTGGCACATTGAACAGTTTTATGTTGCCCCGCACCCTCCAAATTTTTAAGTTACAAATGAAACCCATCTGTAAACAATCCAGTATTATTGTGACCTATCCTTAGAAACAGAAAATCCTACCAGGTAGCAATCAAGATTGGACTAAAATTTTATATTCTTTAACCAACCTCTCCCTATATCCCCTCTCCCCTACCCTTTCCAAATCTAATGCTCTATAGCACTATAGGGTCACTATAGTTAACAATAGTTTATTATATGTTTTCAAGCAGCTATCAGAGAGGATTTTGAATGTTCCCAATACACATAAATGATAAATGTTTGAGGTGATTGATATGCTAATTACCCTGATTTGATCACTACACATTTTATGTATCAAATATCACTATGTACCCCATAAATATATATAATTATTATGTGTCAATTTAAAAATTTTAAGTGATTGGGTTGATTATTCCGACAGTAAATTATACTAGCCATTTTTAAAGAATTTAGGTATCAGGTAGATCTTAGAAATATCTTTAGAGGGCAAAGCTCAAAAAGGTTAAGTAACTTATCTAAACTGGCTAGGAAAAGCAGAGCTCGGATTGAAGGCTATTGTATGTAACTTTAATGCTATGCTTATTTCACTGTGCTTCTCAGCCTCTCCAAATCAGGAACAGTGTGTACAATGTCCATAGACAATAATCACACCAATCAGAAATCCCACCAAGAGTCAGCTACACAGAAAGCTCCCTGTTTTCTCACCTAACATAGTCCTAAGATCTTATTTTAAAACAAAATGTCTGAAAGTAGAGCAATAGCATGCATGCATGGGAGGATTCTCCTCTTCCCCAAAATAAAACAATATAAAATTCCAGACTGTTTTGAGCAGATGCTGCTTCCCTTAGGTCCTGGCAGCAAATGAATGAGAATTTTCATAGGGATCTGGGCCAGGTGGGAAGTGAATGTAGGTTTGGGAACCCATCCTGCTGCCACTGGGGACTGAGAAAGATAATCCAGGCCCCTCTGACTTCATAAGGCTGCTATGGGGATAGGGACAGGTGGTATAGTAAACACTGCTCTTTAAACTCTAGGTCTGAATGGACCACAAGTAGAAATCTTATTTTTTGTTTTTGTTTTTGTGTTTTTTGTTTTTTGTTTTTGAGACAGAGTCTCGCTGTGTCACCAGGCTGGAGTGCAGTGCCTCGATCTCTGCTCACTACAACCTCCACCTCCCAGGTTCAAGTGATTTTCCTGCCCCAGCCTCCTGAATAGATAGGGCTACAGGCACACACACAGGCCCAGCTAATTTTTGTATTTTTAGTAGAGATGGGGTTTCACCATGTTGGCCAGGATGGCCTTGATCTCTCAGCCTCATGATCCTACCACCTCGGCCTCCCAAAGTGCTAATGTATACCACTAGCCAAGTGGACTTTAGCAGGCCATGCTTCATACCCCTACATGACCCTGTGAGTCTTCCCATGACCGGGGAGAGGGTTGTCCCAAAGGTGCCATCCCCAAAGGACACCCTTAGGAGATGGCTTAGTCCTTTTGGGCTGCTAAAACAAAATGCCTTACACTGATAATTTATAAATAGCATATATTTATTGATCACGGTTTTGGAGGCTGGGAAGTCCAAGATCAAGGCAGTAGCAGATTCAGCGTCTAGTGACAGCCCACTGTCTGCTTCAAAGGTGGCACCTTGTTGCTGTGACCTTACATGTTGGAAGGGCAAAAGGGGCTCACAAACACTCTCCAGCCTCTTTCATATGGGTACTAATCCTACTTAAGAAGGCTCCACCCTCATGATCTTATCACAAAGGCCTCACCTCCTAATACTATCACCTTAGGGTTAGGTTTCAAAACACGAATTTTGGATTGACACATACATTCAGACCATGCAGGGGACAATACCCTGTCATTGTCAAACAAGCATTAATGCCCTGAAAATAGGACCCTTCCAGCCTGGTCAGGAGATGAAACTGCTATCTCCAAGAACAGAAGACTACATGGTGGGGGAGTTGCCTCTCACAGATGGTTTCACTAAACAGACTCCTCAAGAACACTCCACACCAATACCTTACCCTGATGCAAAAATGCCATTGTTAACCAAGTAATTATTATGATGCTAAATTCCATTAATTGAGAGGTAGTTTGCAGATTTCAGTGATAATGATCTATCATCTAGATAACTGTCCTCATTTTGTTCTCTAAGCCTTGCCATACCCAAAGCTCTGCCTCCTTCTAGCAAATTTTAAGGAATGTAATCTATGGAATGAGCTACTTGTTTTCTAATATCACATTGCTGTTTGTTAGCTGTGCAACCATAGAAAAGTTACCTAAGGTCTTTGTTCTTTAGTTTCCTTGTCTCTTAAGTGGGAATAAAAATTAGTTCTATACTGCAGGGTTGTTGTAAGGACAACATAAAACATCCATGAAGAATGTTTAGAACGGAGGCTGGCATAGAACAAACACTTAGATGATGGTTGCTCTTACAGGTATGTCAAGAGCTGAGCTGAGCATCCAGGTATCAAAATAGTCAATTAAAATGATAAACCAAAATGAAATCAGTAGTCAAGCCTTAATCCCTTACTGCAACAGTATCAGCAGGAGGCTGAAGAGGAGAAGGCATTGGCTCCTCCTGTGTTCCATTTTTCCCCCTGGAATGTTGCTGAGTAGTGGATCAGAGCAGACAAGAGGGGCAGCTCACTGCCTGCCCAAGGAACCCAGCACAAAAGGGTCCTTCTGTTATGTGGCCCTGGGATCCAGAGTAAGAAAGGGAAAGGCTAGGAGTGGGAAAGCACTGAAGAGTGAGTCCGAGTTGAGCAAAGTGTCTTCGAGACCCATTCCCTCTCCAATAAAATGGTCCTGGCAGAGGCTTTGGCCTGAATGGAGGCACCTGGGTTAGGAATGCAGACAGGCAGAAGAGCAAGTCCTGCAGCCGAGTGGAGGGTCTGAGTCCTGGACCACAACTCCCTTTAGAAACTTCAACACACTGGCTGGGCACCAAGTCTGAGTGAGAAAGCAGGTTTCCCCCATGAGCGCCCCACTAGGTAGAGCCTTTGTTTTACCTGTGGTTGGGCCTGAAAGATCACACATAGGATCTGGACCAGGAGCTTATTTCCTACGTTGTTACACTCTCTCACACACACATCACACCACACACACACATATACATACTTCACTTGTATAAGATCCTCTGGAGCAATGTAGATGCTACTGAGGTTTCACTGGGGAGGGAAAGAGTGTTACTTCACACAACTAACAGGGAAAAAAAGAGTTCTTAATACTACTTCTGGTCTCCAAGTTTCTTTTCCTTTTATTTTCTTTTTCTTCCTCTTAAGTCTTTTTAAAAATTGTGTAAAATACATAGAATATAAAAATGGACCATCTTAACCATTTTTAAGTGTACAGGCCCATAGTGTTACATATGTTCACATTGATGTGCAGTCTACATGACTCTTTTTACCTTGCAAAAATAAAACTCCAAACTCATTAATCAGCAACCTCCCATTCCCTACTCCCGTCTCCTATAACTCTTTTCCAGTACCTCCTAGCCTTGCTGGTTCGTCCACTTTAATTTCTTTCATCCCTATTGTGTGAAGTAATTTTTCCTCTTCATCATTCCTAAGGACAAACTTGTCATCTCAGTCTCTCTGCTTCTTAAAAACAAAGTCCCAAAACCTGCACCCCCAGCGTTAATGGGCACACTCTCTTAGAGGGGACTTCAGCAACTACCTTTAATACCAAGTATTCTTTTCAGATTCTTTTACCCATTCTAAATGGCTTACCAATTTTTTCCAAACATAAATTATGTTTGCACCACAGGACTCCTAGGAGCAAAGTTCCTCTCATTTCAGTGTGAAATGAAATTATGCTGACCACGAATTCAGAAAAAAAAAAAAAAAAAAAAGATTACTGCATTTACAGCTACATTTCTGGAGCAATCATCAATACTTTTGAACATGAAGTACACACATTCAGTATACTGTATTTTCAAAGATTTTTGTGTTTTTGGCTCTCTAGGTGATGTGTTGACATTTTTAGATTCTCACGTGGAATGTAACGTTGGTTGGTTGGAACCTCTTCTGGAAAGAGTGTATTTAAGTAGAAAGAAAGTGGCCTGTCCAGTAATCGAAGTCATCAATGATAAGGATATGAGGTAATATTGACACATTCCACAAGATACTTCTAAGCACATATGTAAACACAAGCAGCAGAAAGTGCTGAGTATATGCCCAATATGTGCATTTTTTGAAAATCCAAAACATATACAGCTTACTTAAATAAATGGAAAAGCATGGTCGATATCTTGGGATCAGAGTCTGCTGATGCAATAATCTATCTGGTCACTACAAATTCTTAACTCTAAATACCAATAAATCCTAATAGTCATTAACTGTTTTTTCCCCTTTATATTTAGCTGAACCCACAAATATTTATTTACCTCAAGTTTAGTTCTTATTTCTGTGGGAAACACGTATGTGCTTCTAAGTTGCCCTTGTACTTTTTTTTTCTTCAAAACTGGCCAGAACAGTATTAAAATAAAAGTATAAGTTAAGCACAAATAATCAAGCCAATTAGTTACTAAAGCAAATTGTACTTGTAAATGTTCTTGAACTATTATTAAAAGGTGGTGCTCTAAAATCATCATAAGCACTTGTTTCATTCATTTGACTACGTTGTGAAACCAAATTGATAAAGTACATAAAGATTTATATAATCCCAGATAACACTTTGGTTTTTTCTTCCTGGATTAGTTACATGACAGTGGACAACTTTCAAAGAGGCATCTTTGTGTGGCCCATGAACTTTGGTTGGAGAACAATTCCTCCAGATGTCATTGCAAAAAACAGAATTAAAGAAACTGATGCAATAAAGTAAGTGTGTGAAATTTAAGACTAGAAAGCAGTCATATATCTTTTTGTAAAAGCATAAAAAATTCTACAAAACAGCTTATTATTCTATAGAACATTAAGAATCACAGTTCTAGCCAATAGATTATCAAAGCAAACACAATATTCCTGAGAAATTTGTTCCCAAAACTAATTCTTCACTGGTCATTTGTACCTTACTCAGGGCTGAACACACAAAAATTCACTAATGCTATCCTGTCCCCTAGGATTTGCAACCTAAGAAACACAAACTAGCAAAATGTGCTGCATACATACTATATAAACACACATAATATTAAAGTAAACATAAGTGCAAATTAAAAATAATAGTAATAGAAATATCATTCTAATGATAGCAATGGTTAGGATTTTCTTTTACAGCCTAATCCTACCCCCTCCATGAGAGAAGTGCCAAATTCTATGAATAAATTTAAAAATCGATTCAGAAGCTGGATATGAATTCAAGTTTGGGCTTTTATTCCCAAGAAACTGCATTAAAGAACACAGCTTAGATCTGAAGCTGAAGTGGAGGCTTCCCATTACTTCTTCAGAATCTAGGCCTGCAGGACAAGCATTCAGCCAGCCACAGAAAGAGCAGCAGGGAGCTTAAGTTTTCCCTCTTGTAGTGACCACTTAAGCAGACACAAGCAAGCCAGCCCCAAGAGAAAGCCAAGCCCAGACTGCATTGAAGCATGTTTTCCCCAAACTTACCCCTCAATCAATCATACCACCTTCCTTGCCAGGTGTGATGACTTCAGAATTGTTCCACCAAGCAAAGAAGTGAAGGTTCTACCATTTATTAAGCACTCTGTGCCAGGCACCTAACTCTCTTCCTAACTCTAGGAGGCAGGTGGAAGTATTCACCTTAAAGAGGTGAGGAAATTGAGACTCAAAAGCATTAAGTAATTTTCCCAGAGATCCACAGTTAATGAAAGAAGAATTTGAGACTCAAACCCAGAACTACCTGGATTTAACACTCTTATTCTGCACCTACACCTAAAGAACCTCTGCTTTTTCCAAACTCTCACGTTGAGGGCCAATACAGTGGTTGAATTCAGACTACATTCAACATAATGTTAGGAAGAGAATGCATTCTGGATCGACTAGTAGGAAAATTGGAGTGCAGAAAGAACAGGAACATAAATGGTGGCAGAGGGGAGAGAGGCATGGGACAGGAATTACGTCCCCCTTGAGATTACTGTATACACTAAGCACAAAGCAAACTCTCCACAGAAACTACTTCAGCTGGCTGAGTGGTGACCACCATAGGAAGTGATTCCAGTCTTCGCTAACTGCTGACTAAAATATAGTTTCTATTCTCCATAATCAATATTATTAGTGAAGGCTCTGGAGACAGTTTGAATCTCCACTCTGCTACTGAGAAGTGGTATGAGCTTGAAAAAGACTACTTATCATCTTCAGCCTCTATTTCCTCATTTTTACATGAAGACTCATAAAAGTAGCTGCTACTTAGATTGTTTTAAGAACTGAATCAGATAATACATAAAGTGCTTTGAAAGGTGCTTGCCATATAACATGCTGTCGGTAAAGTTTGTGTGTGGTTGTGAGGCAGAAGAATAGGGTCTGGAGGCAAGAACCTTGAGGCCAATTCATGCCGACTTCCTGAAGTCGAATCAAGGAAAAACACCAAGGTCTGGGGGGCAGGGAATCTAAGACCAATTCCTGCTGACTTCCCAAAGCTGGATCAAAAGGAAAACACCTGGGTCTAGGGGCAGGGGATCGAAGGCCGATTAACACCCACTTCCTAAAGCTAAACTAGGAGGAAAATTCCATTTCCCCACACCCGAGTAAAAAAGGATCAAAGGCTACTCTCCCTACAGCCCTTCCCTTCCACCACCTCTCAGACAGAAAGGGAGGGTGCCTTGGACTGGCCAAGCAGGGACCTTCCCTTCATCTGCATAGGGAGCCAATTCACCTCAGCCTTTCATTAGCCAACCAAATCCTTCATCCAGATAAGGGGCAGCCGATAGGGACCTCGAAAGGAGTACTCAGAAAACTTTGTAACCCGTTTGCTCCGGCCCACTCCCACCCTGTGGAGCGCTTTCTCGCTTTAATAAATCCCTGCTTGTGCTGCTTCGTTCACGTGTTTCGTTCCTTTGTTAGTGTGTTTTGTTCAATTCTTTGTTCAAACTACCCAGAACCTGGATAACTCACACGCACGGCCTTCCTTCCGGTAACCGCGAGAGGCAGTACAGTGGAGTGAGTGGCACAGCGTCCCCTCAGACTGCCCAGAGCAAACCCAAGGTGTCAACTGTCCTTGGGAAAGTTTCTTACCTTCTCTGTGTTGCCGATTCCTGAGAGCTTGCTTGGAGGTTCTAGCAGGGAGCACAGCTGCTCGTACACCCTTGAGGGAAGACCGGCCCTCCTGTGTCGGGGATGGTCGTCCTCTTCCACAGAGAACGCAGCTTCCGGGAGGGACGCACATGGAGAAGTGAGGGAGGAAGGGGACACCCGCCTAGCCAGCCGGATCAGCCGAATCAACCCTGACAATCCTTGGGGTGGCAGATGTCGCAGCCAGATCGCCCTCACATCCAGTGTTGCAGATTCTCTCTCTTTTTTTTTTTTTTTTTTTTTTGAGACGGAGTCTCGCTCTGTCGCTCAGGCTGGAGTACAGTGGCCGGATCTCAGCTCACTGCAAGCTCCGCCTCCCGGGTTCACGCCATTCTCCTGCCTCAGCCTCCCGAGTAGCTGGGACTACAGGCGCCCGCCACCTCGCCCGGCTAGTTTTTTGTGTTTTTTAGTAGAGACGGGGTTTCCCCGGGTTAGCCAGGATGGTCTGGATCTCCTGACCTCGTGATCCGCCCGTCTCAGCCTCCCAAAGTGCTGGGATTACAGGCTTGAGCCACCGCGCCTGGCCCAGTGTTGCAGATTCTTAATAATCATACACACTCACAAGATTTTTTGTGAAGTCTGGGCTGGTATGTATATAATACTTACAATAGTGTTTGATACTCCCTTAGCCCTGAATAAGTGTTAAAAATAACATTCCTGGACAGTTTGTGTCACAGTATAAAGCGCAAATAATTCTAGTTCCAGGATGCATCTTTGCTGAACCTAATCAAGCTCTGCCACCGTGATCCAGGGATGGCATCACTTAAGCCCTATTTGTGACTCTGTCCCAGGGCTTCCCTGCATCGGATAGCTATTCTGAAAAGCCTTCTACCTCCAGTACAAATGTACAGAGGACTAACTCTAAAAGTCGAACTTTCATGAAATATAAGTTTAAAAAACAAACTTTTCTTTTTGTAGGTGCCCTGTCATGGCTGGTGGATTATTTTCTATTGACAAAAGTTACTTTTTTGAACTTGGAACATACGACCCTGGCCTTGATGTTTGGGGTGGAGAAAATATGGAGCTCTCATTCAAGGTATTACCAGGTGTTTCCCAAATTTTCTTTACAATAATGAGTTAATCAATTTAAATGGTTTGATTTTACTACTATAATCAGATATGTGACTGCCACTAAGAGGAAATTTCACAGAAATTTTAGGGTCTCTGGATTAATTTTTTCATATCTCAGATTGAATTTGGAGGAATCAATTGCTGTCGTGAAATTTATTAGCATTCCTTAGTCTTTCACAACACCATTTCTGCTTGTAAATATGGGGGAAATGACTTTCTGCCACTCAGAGTAAATGCTGTGGGAGTCATACGTGATACAGAATAACTCTTCTGGGGCATCTGTCTAGTATGTTGGAAGGAATAGACTCAATCTGTATTGGATTATCTTGGAGAACACAAAATGACAGGACATAAAAATACCTCTAAAGCAGGTCACCGACAGGTCAGGTGTGCTCATAGTACAGCTCCTTTGGATACTTTATACCATCTATTATACAATCACCAATTAACTTCTGAGAAAGCCTTGGCAACAGCAGTAGTAAAGAGTGTACAAAAAGTAATTGCTTTCCTATTGGGTGGGTGTTCTGTATGTAGGTAAAAGGGTATAATTTTGGAGCTGCTGATCAAGAAAAATGGTTTTGAGTTGTGTACCACAAGCCTTTTGGTTTTTCCCAAAATGAGAGTAGGGGAACGTGAACAAATGGACATCTACACTTCTTTCCCTGATTCAACCAAAACAACTCATATTTTACAAAATGGGATTCTGTGAAGATTTATTTACAAATAAATAACAAACTTATATTGCAGGTTAGGAAATGAAAAAACTACATTTCACTAATCCTAAAATGATCCACAGCAATACACAAAATTAAATAAGCCTGTTGAGTTTGATTTTCTATTGCAAAAGTGTTTTTGAAGTTGAGTATTACTTCAGGTAGGGGGAAACAAGGTCGCCAGCCAGGTGGTTTCTTGTCATTGTTAAGTGCTCATGATTTGTGGATAATATTTTGATAATTGATGCTTATCATCAAATTCTTCCAGGTGTGGATGTGTGGTGGTGAAATTGAGATCATTCCCTGCTCCCGAGTAGGCCATATATTCAGAAATGACAATCCGTATTCCTTCCCCAAAGACCGGATGAAGACAGTAGAGCGGAACTTGGTGCGGGTTGCTGAGGTCTGGTTGGATGAGTATAAGGAGCTGTTCTATGGCCATGGAGACCACCTCATCGACCAAGGGCTAGATGTTGGCAACCTCACCCAGCAAAGGGAGCTGCGAAAGAAACTGAAGTGCAAAAGTTTCAAATGGTACTTGGAGAACGTCTTTCCTGACTTAAAGGCTCCCATTGTGAGAGCCAGTGGTGTGGTAAGTTCAAGTGACAATTTAAAATCTTACTTCATCAAAACAAAACACAAAATCTCTTTCAAAAATGTGTGGAAAGAATGAATAATTACATCATAAATAAACATCAAGTATGAGCATAGATGGGACAAAGCATAGCTGAGAATTAAATATAGGTAAACTTAAGGAAGGCTACCAAGTGGTCATGTTCATTGATTAACTCAACAGATATCTATTGAATATCCATAGATCTGGGAGTATTTCAGACTTGGATTACAGGGCGATGAATGAAGCAGACTTGATCCCTTCCTTGCGGAGCTTAATTTGGGTAGGGAAGAAAGATTATAAACAAATAAGCAAGTCAAGTGTAAATACAAAATATAATAGCTCTCATTTAGGGAGCAGGCCACAGTTGATGAATTCTCAGTGTGGTCGAGAAATCCTCTCTGAGAAGGAGACTTTGTAACTCAGGCCTAAAACACTAAGTGTCAGTCAGCCACGCTCTAAAGAAGAGTGCTAGGCAGAGGGTGAAGGTCATGTAAAGCCCTCAGACAGGTGAGTGTTCTCCATCCAAGCACTGGAAAGAAGGCAAATGTTGTTGTCAGGGTGTGCAGGAGGGAAGAATGGCGCCAGATGAAGGTGAAGAGGAAGGAAGGAGCCAGATCACACAGGTCCTTGTAACCAAAGTAAGGATTTTCTTTCTTTCTTTCCTTCCATCTTTCCTTCCTTGCTTCCTTCTTTCTTCTGAAAGTAGTGGGAAGTTACTGAGCAGAGTTAAGCAAGGGGGTGATAAGATTTAATTAGGATTTGTAAAGATTTCAAAGAGGGAACAGAAAATATCAGAGAATAGCAGATAACATTCCAGGACATGAGAGATAGTATCCAAAAGGAAGAAGCTAAGCCAGATAAGGTGGCCAGAGTACAAGACTAAGAAAACATCAAGGAAGAGGAAAAGCTGGGGAAAAGCCATTTCAAACCCATTCTAGGAGTCAAGCTGCATTTGAAGAGGATGGTAAGACACATGGGTTTAAATATGATTAGCCAAGCCTTCAGCTGGGGTTCTTTGCCTTTCATGCTTATTTCTAATTTTTTATTTCCAATTTGATTTGACTTATAACTATCCCCAGTGTTTTTGTTTTATTTCAGCTTCCTTTTTCTTCATCCAAGAAATTATTTTAAAATGTGACCATTAGTTATCCTGCCCTTTTAGGCCACATTTTTTCAGTTCTTCTAGAGAGTGGGTTATACCATGCTTTCTATCTGGAAATTCTCGTGATAGCAAAAACTTATTATAATACTCCCCTTGAAAGTATTAGGGAAATCCAGGAAAGCTATGAAAGACAAGAAACTAGCCTTAAAAAGTGGTTCTGTTTTTTACAAAATTCAACTGATAAATAAGTATATGTTTTTAGGTAATACACTGTATTATAAAATTGCCATTTTTATAGGTCCAAATAGAATGGCAGCTAATTTAGGTGGCTCAACCTGGTAATTTATCAGACAGTTTGGATTTATATACACACTGTTCAAATGACAACATGTCAAATATAACTGTAAAATAAATTTACAGTTTTTAATTTCAACCCCTGAGCAGAAAAAAAAAAGAAAGAAAGAAAGAAGGAATTCCCACTATTGTAATTTTTCCCATTCCAACAACACAATCTCAGTAAGAGTAATACTGAACTTTAACCACCAGAGGGCACTAGAAAACTACGTTTTGGCTCCACTGGTAGGCTAACTTGTGTGAGTTCCTACGAAATTTCTGAAGAGCTCTCCTAATGAAACAGCCTTCTGCTGATGTCTCCGCTATAACATATCAAAATGCAGCAAGTAGTTTAAAAACTGATTTTAACAAATTCCTTCTATTTTCCTTTGTTGTTTCCTTAAACAAATTTCAGTGAAGATGTAGTTTGCTCCCTTCTGAAGCAACCAGCAGAGAGCGTTATTACCATTTTAAAAAAATTAGGACCTTTCTCCAGGTAATTTGGAACAAATTAAGTAGATCATTATTTTAGATAGATAATCTTGGAAATTTCCAAGAAAATAAACTCCACAACTTCTTTTTGTATCTTGCTCCATTTCCCTTCTTTCAACCTTCACACGTAGATATTTAAATCCAGTGAAAATTTTGTGTTTTGTAATAAGAACAAATATTTTCTTATTGAACCAACAATATTTGAAGCTAATAATCTCACCAATAATGTATTTTTACACTGGATTAAACTGCTGGCAAACAGTCTATAGCTCTGTTTCCCTTTTTTCAACCTCCACGTGTAGGAATTTAAATCCAGTGAAAGTTCGTGTTTTTTGTAATAAGAAGAAATATTTTCTTATTGAAACGACAATATTTGAAGCTAATAAAAGAATCTCACCAATAATGTATTTTTACACTGGATTAAACTGCTGGCAAATAGCCTAATGTTTAACAATTCTGTCATAAATTGTGGGGAATATCTACTTCCTAAATTGGAAAGTGAAATAATACAACATGGATAATTTAACATTTATACACTGCCTGATTTTTTTAAAGACTAAAATGGTTTACAGTAAAAACATGGATCAATTATTTTTAAATAAAAAGGAAAAATTCTAAAAATGGTTAATAATGAAATGAAGAATAACAATTCCAAAGCACTTCAAAGACGATGTCTATATGAAGAAAAGTATTAGGTTGGTGTAAAAGTTCCTTCAATGGCAAAAACCGCAATTAAATAGTTTCCTTGGTAATTCCTAAGAAGAAGGGGAAAAAAAAAAACATCCTCAGGTCAAGTGAGAGAGGGACATGTAAGGGACAGAAAATTTTATCTTTCCTTCTAATGCTTTTTGGTTCTTGGAGGGATTATACAAAATAAACACAAATATCAGTTAACCAGGGGGTTCTCAAACACTGTCCTGACCAATGTTACTTGTGCTGTCTCAGAGTTCCATGGTCAAGTACATTTGAGAAACATTTGTAGAACATTCTGAGCAGCAAGCTGAACATACACACCCTGAAGATTTTGAGAAGTTCTGGAGTAGAACCACCTGTTCAGCTCTGTGGAAACCTGCATTTTCCAAATTTGTTTGAAGATAGAATATTTCTGCATGATCCACAAATATAGGAGCTTATATAATATTTATCTGTGCTGAAGTACAGAGAGCAACTGCAGCATGCTTTCCTTCTTTTAAGCCCCGAGATTATTCTACCGTTACGTCTTTCTATTCACCTTCCTCTCTGAAGTTCAGGGCTGGGACTGGGGGGCACTAAATCCTTCTGTGCCTTGTGATGCCCACATTTACTAACAGCGAGCTGTCTCCTCCCATATTTGTCATTTTAAATTGCGAATAGAGCTTTCTCTGAGGATTTTTGATAGAGATGCCATCCTTCCATAGTTGCTTTGTTTCTGTCCGTGCCAGGCACCTCAGAAGTCATTATCAACCTGGTACTATTTTTAGCGTTTGTTTCTATGCCTTGAAAGTCTGTGATGGTTCCTGTCCAAAGCACGTGGTGTAAATATTCATCTCAAACCCAAATGAAGTCTCGTGTAAAGTTTCAGATTCTCAGGGAGAATCCAGCTTCCTTGTTTTCTCCCTGTGCTAATGGGCACATTGTTTTTCCTAGTGCAGCATTCAACTGAAGGTCTGTTTTTCCGCTGTTACGTGGAAGACCTGAATTCCAGCTTTTTGGCTTACCCACGCCTCTGTTTTTCTTCCATCCATATGAAGGAGCAAGTCTTTCTTGCCAACCTTTGCATGGTTCCCTGTAGCCTTTAATTTTTTCTGCGTATTCTGATCCCTGAAGATGTCCTTTACTTTCTTGTCCACTAAGCTAAGCATGTAAAAGTGAGGACCAATGTACTGAGCCCCCTTTTATGAAGTCTGGCAACTCTGTAAGCATCCAGCCGCCATCAGTGCAGCACCCTGAGTTAGATCTCTTTGTTAGGCATCGTAGAACCGGAAAGGCACAAATAGTGTCCCTGGCAACAAAGACTTCAGCTCCTCCCAGCTCAGGAAGCTTTCCCGGGACATGTCATATAGATTCGGCTCTGCACAGCTGTTCTAGAAATCTGAAAACCCTAAGTTGCACTGTTAACCCATCATCTTGTTAGCCCTGCCCAGGATGTCAAAGGAGGAAAGGAAATCAACATTTTTCTGCAATAAATGGTGACTTAAAGAAAGCTACCTCCATATTTGACCCTGTAAATCCATTAAAAACCTGGGGGCCTGCCAGAAAGTGCCTTTATGCTTGGCTCTAGATTAGCTTTCGTGACTTTCCTATAATGAATTGTAGCTCGCTTGAGTCATTAAGGAGATTCTGACAGGGAATCAGCTGGAATCTGCTGTTCTTTGAAGGACTCAATTTATCTATGATTCAGTGCTTAAGCAGTCAAAAGGCTTGAAGGGGTCAGTCAGGGAACATAGCTCATAACTCTTATATGTGCACTGACTTTCAGTATCTGCATTAGATAAGCTTAAGACCAGAAAATAACTACTTTTCTTGCCACCTTTGCTCATTTGTTATTTAGCATTCCAGGCAAGGGTTAATTAAAAGTTTCTGTGTGTTGGCTCTATGGCTGATCACAGGCCAAAATTAACAGATTGAAGCTGTACTATTACAAGATTACATTATGTCTCTGTTAGAGACAGCAACCAATAAAACTGGATAGTGCTAAGTAATGTTAAGCTATTAACTATCTTTTAACCTTATTATAGTTTTATATTCTGTATTTTCTAAATGTGTCTGAATGTCTTGTTCTACTTTAAATTGTTTTTAAATTCCTGTTTCATATTTTGCTTCTTAGCTTATTAATGTGGCTTTGGGTAAATGCATTTCCATTGAAAACACTACAGTCATTCTGGAAGACTGCGATGGGAGCAAAGAGGTATGCTAAACTGTTTTCTATCTCATGGTAGCTGACAGGTGCAGGGTATGACACATTCATTGCACAATTGAGAAATTCATCTTTCCCCAATAGGAAAATAATTTTCTAAATTTCTTTGTAATTAGAGAATCCACCACTAAACACAAAGACAGTGACTGAGGGAATAAAGGTGTGGGTCCTGCAGTCAACTCACTGGATCCAGAAAGAATACAGTCCTGCCACCATCACTTGCCAAAGCGTATTAACTTCTGCAGATTCATTAACCTTTGGGTAAATGGTAGTAATAATCATGCCTACTTCTAGAACTGGTGTGAGGCTGGAGTTAGGTAATACCTATGAAGCCTGCAGAACAATACCTAATGCTTAATGCTCTGTAGATGTTTGCTGTAATAATAATAAAGATAAAAATGTAAAAAATGTGTAACATAGACAAAGATACTAAAGAGAGAACATATTTCTAAATAATCATTCTAAGGAAGCGGTCTTCTTCTCTGATTCCATTCCCCTTTCCCCTCATTCTCCCGCATTTTAAGGGAATAATGGAAATAACCAAATCCATGATCCATGGTAGAAACGTCTATAGGAAAACTCCACAAACTCAGAGCGAAATGGTTAGTAGAGGGAGTAGGGCCAGGAAGCAGGGAATAGAGACTCCTTCCACAGTGCTGGAGGTGAGCTCTGAGTGATTACACTTCCCTCGCTAACATACATTCCCTAACAGTTCTGTGTTTGTGGAAACAGTTATTGGTTTGAGTGGCAAGTAGGACTCAGAGGAAAATAGATTCATGAGTAGAAATCAGTTCCCAAAATTGCAGATTGTTCTTTGGTACAGAGATTATTTTGCAATGGTAATCTAGGCTTGTCAAGTCTTACATCTTTGCTTTGACTTCAAGATACTGTTTATATTTTTTGGTGCATCCCATCTCTACCTCTTAACTCAAAGCTGCTACTAGAAGAAAAGGTATCTCTATTGCTATATTTAGCTATGAATTGTAAACCTGAAGCCAAGGCCACTCTTTTTTAATTAGGAAAGAAAGGAGTCAAAGGGAAGTGAAAAAGTGTTAAAACACATTAAAAGAAATAACTTTCAGTTACTAACAAAGAGGAAATAAAGTCATAAATTGTAAAAACAAAACTACAGTTATTTCACATTATATAAAAGGAAAAGTATTAAATAATGCATTTTTTTTTTGGAGGGGGGAATGATCATTGCAGGGACTTTTTGTGCCAGAGTAACCAGTATTTTATCTGAAAACCCAAGTTCTATTCTTGATGACCATTGAGTCTTTCTCAAATGGATGCTGGGAGGCAAAAGTATAAATTATTCAGCCTTCACCTTCCACAAAGCCCCAGCTCCCTTTTAGTCTCGTTGCTCATTGTTAGCTTCTGCCTCTCATAGTTTGCTTGGGTCATAAAAAGTAAAGAAATGTGGAGGAAGTTAACTCACTTTCGGCAGAATTAATGAGGCTTAATACCAAGCCAATGACTACAACATTCATCCAAAAAGGCTCAATAAGAATAAGACCCTTAGATTGAATCATCCAGCTCTATCCCTTTACCTTCTACCTAAAATATCTCCTTGGTTATTAACCTTTCAAGCAGTTGAGACATATTTTTCCAAGGTAATATCTAGCTTCTCTTAGTAGCACATAACTTCCTTATATTATGCCATACTTCCATGCTTCCTACATGTTAATGTTCACACAAATCACCTAGGGAGTTTGCTACACTGCAGATTCTGAATCAGTAGGTCCGTGATGTGGTTGAGACTCAGCACTTCTAACTAGCTCCCAGGTGATGTGGATGTTGGTCCAAGGACCACCATTCCAATGTCAAGTTCCAACACAATGACTTTGATCTAAGCTGATAATCAAAGTTGAACTTCAGTTACAATACAAATGATTCATGAGGTAAAGATTTAGATAGATTTTACCAGAAGCCTATTTTTTCAAATATGTTTATGTTAGTACAAAACAATAAATTTCTCACAGACCCAGAGCATTAGAGTAAATTGACCAGGCAGATAATACTAGGTTGTAAACAACTGAAGAAAAATATTTAAGGATTAAAAACATAGTTTCATTACCAGAATTGGTGCTTATTTTAGACACTGGCAACTTCTCCAAGAGCAGTTTCTATGAACTGGGGGATGCCAACCTGGTAGCAACCTGATGATTCCTCGTGCTAGTAGCAAAGAAAGACTTCCACCTTTTCCACAATTAGACAAAGCCTTTATGATAGTTTTATACAAGGAAGCATCAAAAATCCACCCAAGAAATTTAGAGCTGTGACTGTTATCTCCCCATAGCCACCCGTGGTTTAGAACCTTAATCATGTGGTAGACTGAACATTCCAATTCTTTAAGCACCAGGCTTGTTTGGGATTCAGAACACTGAAATGACATCCATATGCAGACAGAACTAATTGCACTAAATAATTTTATTATTGTAACTAACATTTATTGAAGGCTTATTGGGTGCTAAACACTTGATAGTCATTACCCCAACCCTCTGAGATAGATACAATCGCTGTCCAACTTAAAAATTAGAAAAATAAGATTAGACAGGGTAAATAATATGCCCATACTATCAGAATTACAAATGATAATACCAGGACTTGAATCTAAAATATCAGATCATAGTTCCTATATTCTTAACTATTGCTAACAAAAATGTTTGACAAAGCCCCTGCCTGTGTCTGCTGCCTAAAGTGACTCTTTATTCATTTCCCCCACAGCTTCAACAATTTAATTACACCTGGTTAAGACTTATTAAATGTGGAGAATGGTGTATAGCCCCCACCCCTGATAAAGGAGGCATAAGCCTGCACCCTTGTGATAACAGAAACAAAGAGCTAAAATGGCTGCATAAATCAACATCAGTCTTTCATCCAGAACTGGTAAGCAAAAGATTGGTACCTCTTCTTTACCACAAATATGACTTTTGATCAAATAGGACATAAAATTTTCATTATCAGCTTCCTCAGTCAGAAGTTTTGTGTGTTTGTGACAATGGGATTATGTAAAAGCTCACTCACAGAGATACATGGGTATCTTTTGAAAGTTGGCAAGTCCTTTTTTTTCTTTTTCAAAATTTATTTCAAATGGGTTATTTTAAATAGAAGTCACCAAGTTCTTGTAGTTACATTGCTATCATTTGCATCAGTCAATCGACAACACCAAAAGTCAGGCTTAAAGGCTAGAATTGGTCCCCACTCGTTATCAGAAATGCTTATAAGGAGAGGATATGGGCAGCACAGGAAGCTGCATGTCTCCTACAAGTCCTGCACTTTAGAATGAATCTGATTCCTCATTCTGCCCCCTTTCCATAGAAGGAGACTTTTTCATCCCCTGCGGTACCCAGAGACTGGGGCTTCTAAGGGTCTGCTGGAGCCAGCTTTCATCACCTCACTGGAGCCGCTTGTGTGCACCCTTGCCAACTTTGCATTCAATCATACCACATTGGTAGCTTGAAACTGGCCATATCGGGAGTATTTATACCACAGAAATCGGAAGATGTTACTGGATCAGAGATACTTTTCTGAAGGTCCAGTTATTCTATTTACCAGAACATTCCTGGTCTACTGTATTCATGCTCAAAGTCCTCTCCATTTTTCCCAATTACATTTTAACAGAATATGGAGTCATAAGCCTTGGTGTAGGAGCTTAAGGTTGGCAAGAATAGTCTCAGAACTGCCTTCTTAAATTTTCTACCATCTCTCTAGCAGGTAGCCACCAAATCTACTGTCTACAGTAAATATCTGGGTATTTGGAGACTCTCAGTTTGCCCAGGGCTATCCCTAAAGTAAGCACCTTTTCTTCCTCGAGGTACCTCCGTTCCTTTTAACAACACAGCCAGTGACTGTTCTCTTCTCAACATTTTTCTTCCTGCTCAGGGCCAAAACTGGGGCCTGAGTAATGTGTTCTCCAGCCTTTCTCCCATTAGATCCTCTCTGTTGTATTTCAATTCTTTCTGGACAGTTTTTTTCTCTTTAGTAATAATGGTTATTATTGAGTTATTCAGAAAGATTAGGAATTATTAGCATATATGCTGCTAATTTTATTTTTGCATAGTGTTAGGAAATCCATATACATGCAGTGTAGTGAATAACTTACATCTTACCTTCTCCCTGTGCCAAAGTCAGGAGGGAGGGAAGGAGAAAGGAGGAGTGGGATAAGGAGAGAAAGAGAGAAAGTGAGTAAGAGAGAGAGAGAATATGAATAAGAACGAGAACTAAAACACATTCTTCATCTCCAGAATTGAATCTTGGGAAGGAGTTCAAGCATAGCAATTTCTCTTAAGCAGTAAGCTGATTTGGTAAAGGAGATAATTTAGTTAAGATAGCAAAAATTGGAAAACCTTTTCCCTACCTTCTTTGTACCTATGTATGACTTTGTGACATTTGACACAGCTGCCTTCTGTCTTGGATTTCCTTTTTGATGTTACCAAATGTCCTGGAGATTAGTAGCTTGGTGATCAGCTTTCTTCTTTTTTCAGTTTTTCAGTAGTTTTCATGCTATACCTCCTAGGTCCCCCAGTACATGTAAGTCTTAAACAACAAGAGAAGTATAAAATGAGACTTCTTTACAAATCCTTGACAATATTCAAGCATCATATTTCCAAAATCCTGCAAGGGTGATGATACTTTTGTAGGAACAATCTTTAAAATAAATTATTATGAAAGTCACCCCTTTTTGATAACTTATTAAGGTTTAAAAACAACATGTGTAATTAAGATCGTCTTTGTCATAGTCATAAGTAATTGAGAGAATTTATAGATAAAAATATATATAAGCCATTAGTAAGTTCTATGTAATTTATCTACCATTTCTAGGATATTCACTAAATATTAAGCAATAATAGAACTTTATTTAATATTTGGACATCAGTTGTTATGAATTGTCAGAGATTATGGTAAAGAGCTCATAAATAAAATACATCACTTCCAGAATTTTGTAATCCAAATTCACAAAGACACACACCTACTTTAAAAATTAATTAACTTTTTGTTGCGGTATGTATTTTTTCTTTACCGTCAATGAAGTAGTTATCATCTATCAAATCCAATAAATGTCATCTGTAATGTTTTCTCTTTAAAGAGTATATAGTTCTCAGCCACATCATCAAAAAATTTTTATTTTGCCTCCTGAGGACTTAAAAGTCTTATAGCTTGGAGGAGGATCATTACTTAGTCTGAGACAGAGACAAATTTAATACTTTTCAAAGTCTGTGTTTATGTTAATAATTTAGTTCAGAAGAGTTCTTAAAAATCAAAAATATAACTGCCTGTCAGTTTTTTTAAATTGGTTTTCATTTCTTTATATCGCAGTTATCAAATTCAACCTCATTCCCAGATCCTCTTTCTCTCCAGGTGAATCACATTGTTTTTGAAAACAATCAGCAATTATTATGCTTGGAAGGAAATTTTTCTCAAAAGATCCTGAAAGTAGCTGTCTGTGACCCAGTGAAGCCATATCAAAAGTGGAAATTTGAAAAATATTATGAAGCCTGAAATGGAGCTGATGTTGTTTTTATATAGTAAATGCATTAAATACTGTGAAAATAACACTGAACTTGTTAACTATATTTCTCAGCGGTAGTTTAAATTTTCAATTTTAATAGAATTTGAATGGAAGATTTTTTATAAATCACAATATTTGGAATACCAAAAGATAACTCAGGAAAACAGTCCAACATTGGACTGAAGTCCTTCTTCAGAACTGGGTGGCCTTTTGAATTGCCTGCTTTCCACCCTGTGCTAGAACTCATCCTGCAAATTTCCCTGTGAAGCTAACAAGTAACCGGAAATGAAGACAGAAGGACTTGAGAAAGCATGAGGGTATTCCCAATGACTGTGTTTGATAATAATCAGCTCTTCTGGCCCACAAGTAGGAATGATCAACGAGAACTTAACTTAGTCCTTTATTTGGAGATTTTTTCATCAAACAAAAATTTCTTGAGTTCTTACGGCTAGAAGACCTTGGATGCCCACAGCTATCACGTTTGTGAAATCCCTCCAGACTACATGCATACTTACCTAACAGTTTGAAATGGTATTGATCTACTGCCGGTAACCCTGCTTGATGGCAGCATTTTGATCTAAATTACATAATGGTTTTTCCCAATCTGAATCAGTGGAAAAAAATTTAAGTGAGGAAGAAGAGGGCTTCAAATGCTTATTTAATTCTAGGTGTGAACACCATTTCAGCTCATTTTGTGCTTTTAAAACTACAATTTTAAAGATTTGCGATACCAATAACTTCCTAGATTCATGTGGATTTTTTTAAAGGCAATGAAAAACGGCTGGATTATAACACACTGTAGTAACCAAAAATGCATTTAAGCATTGAATGCACTCTAGTGCAGGGCCAAGTAAGAGGAGTTGAAATGAGTAAAGCAGAAATAGAGCTGCTGAAAGTTTATTTTATATAAAAATAATAAAATACGACTTTAGATATAGTAGCAGTCACAGGAATGAAATATGCTAAAAATGGGCTCTAAAATATTTCAGAGGGAAAGTAAAGTGAAGGAAACACCATGAAACGGGAAAGGAGTGAGGTAAACAAGTCTTAGGAAGAGAGTTAAGAAAAAATTCCCCTGGACTTAACCAGAGAAGGAAGGGGATCTGGTATCTCTATAAAGGAAAAAAGAGTAAAGCCCTCAGTGTGAACCCAGTGAAAACACTGAAAATTTGGGAAAAGTTAAATACTGATTTCATCCAAATAAAGCCTCTAATCTTAAGTATCCCAATACATTGGCATACCAGAAGAGGCCTTAGAAATCAGGATAGCCTTTGCATTTATTTCATTAAGAAAACTGATGCTGAGAGGACAAATTACCTAAAAATCTTAAAACCCAGGCAAGTCTGTCAAAGAATCAAGATTAGAATTCAGGTTTCCAGAGACAGGGCTCATTCTGCTGCCTCAGGTCACTGGCTGGCCTGAACAAATCTGCTTCACAGAATTCCTTAGAAAGAGGTACACAAATTTCTTTGCTGGGATTGGGTCCCTGGAGGACAACCATACTATATTCTTGTTAATATGTTTTTGGTTTTTTTTTTAAGTTAAACCTTGGTTCAGTTGAGATGAAGGTGAAACTAGGTATATTTCGTTCTGACTTCTAGTTTAACATTTAATTTTAACTTCTAGTGAGTTAACGTAAAAGCAAAACTATAAGAATGGGAAAAAGAACTATTTCTGCACATTTGTAACATATTTAAGATGTTTTCTTCAAATAATTGAAAATGGTAGATGAGTAAGAGAATGACTAGAAAATGAGATACAGTTATATGACACATAATGATGTTTTAGTCAACAATGAACCACATATTTGACATTGGTCCCAAAAGATTATATTAATAGTATGGTATCTTTACTCTACTTTTTCTATGTTTAGATATGTTTAGATACACAAATACTCACCATGGTGTTACGATATCCTACAGTATTCAATACAGTAACATGTACAAGTTTGTAGCCTAGAAGCAACAGGGATTCCATATAGCCTAGGTGTGTAGTTGGCTACCTACACCATCTAGGTTTGTGTAAGTACACTCTGATGTTCACACAACGATGAAATTGCCTAATGACACATTTCTCAGAATGTATTTGTGTCATTAAATGATGCATGACTGTAATTCTTTTCAAAACAGAGCCATATGGGGCAAGGGGGGCCGGGGGACACAAGTCAGTTGCCAAAAGACTAATTGAGTTAGTGACACACTGAATATGCTAGGTGCTTCACGTAATTCTTCATGTAACTAAAAAATGTTGAGAGGTTTTTCCCCCTGGGTATATAGGCTCTCTTTTTATCCAAAAATACTTTCCACAAAGAAGTCAACTCTGTTCTGAAAAAAAAAAATGAATTGTGTTTTGAATACAGTCATCTTTGAGTATATCAGCTAAAGGAAGTTGGATTTTTTTCCTTAACAGAACCTTCTGCAGTCCTCTCAGTTCACATCCTTCCTGACTTTACCTTGACCAACTTATTATATAAAGCTATATTTAAATCTATGTTGTCAATATAACAAAGGATTATTTTCAAACATCACAAATTTGTTCTTGGATAGAATTTTATACATTGCTTTTGTCATATATTTGCTCAGTTACTCTAAAAAGCAAGGAACTGATCACTATTTGGGAATTTATATGGGCCTAAACTTGAGTGTATTGATTTATTATGAAATTCACTACCAACGTTTTCTCAAGCAGAACCTTCTAAATTTTTTTCAGGAGACTGGAATAAAGGTATAAATGCTACTCGATCTTCTGGTACTTCTAATGATAAACCTTTGGATGAGACAGGTACTAATCAGTACTGAATTCTTCAATAGGAGACTGTGTTATAGGAGCTACAGATTTTTCCCTGACTTAGCTTAGGTCATTGCCTTTTCTTTAAAAAAAAAAAAAAAAAAAGTCTATGCATCTTGTGACCTTGAATACAAGGGTGGTCTTGATAGTATTTGACAGGACTAACCAACTTACCAAGCCATCTAAGTGCTTCTGAGACTTTTCAGTTTGCACAATTTCTTTCTTTTTCAACAGTTACCCAGCACTTCTGCCCTACTCTCTTGTAAGCTGACACAGCTGTTGTTGGTACAACCGTGTTTTATCACCAGCATCAAATTTGCTTAATACTGCTTGCTGACATCCCCTCAGCTGTCACTCACAGCAAACCACCATGTGCCATGATCACAATGTATTATTAGCTTCACCACACTAATTTGGAAACATTCTCTTAGATATTAAAACACCTTGCTTCTAGTATTAGTTTGGGACTGAAGAGGGGCAAAGATACCATTTACAGTGTATAAGAGTCCAATATTCCCAACCAACCTTGATTTCATGAATGGCTTGTAATTATTTTTAGTGGGCACTCATGCAACAGAATGAGGTTTAAACATACCAGAGAGTACCATCTTTCTTTGTTTTAACATCTCTGATTGAATTCCTATATTCAGAATACAAGAAAGAAATTTTACCAACCTGGCACAGTGGCTCAGGCCTGTAATCCCAGCACTTTAGGAGGCCAAGGCGGGTGGATCATGAGGTCAGGAGTTCAAGACCAGCCTGGGTAACATGGTAAAACCCCATCTCTACTAAAAATACAAAAATTAGCTGGGCATGGTGGTGGACGCCTATAATCCCAGCTACTTGGGAGGCTGAGGCAGGAGAATTGCTTGAACCCGGGAGGTGGAGGTTGCAGTGAGCTGAGATTGTGCCACTGCACTATAGCCTAGAAAACAGAGCAAGACTCCATCTAAAAAAAATAAAAGAAGAAGAAGAAGAAGAAGAAGAAGAAGAAGAAGAAGAAGAAGAAGAAGAAGAAGAAGAAGAAGAAGAAGAATTTTTACCTCAGAAGAAAGCCCCAAAATCTTAGATTAAAAATGAAAAAAGGACAATGGGTGATGGGAAAAAAGAAAGGAACTAATTATCATTGAGTATGTGTAGGCACTATTTGTGTAGGCACTATATGTGTCCCCTCTCACTGATGGGTACAACTCACGAAGTGAGTCTCATTCTCCCTGTTATACGAAGAAGAAGGATAACTCCCATATACAGATGAGGAATTTGGTAAATTGCCCAAGGTCATCCTACAAGTAAGAGACAAAGCCCAGTTTCCATTTTATCTGGCTCAAAAAAACATTTCTCTTACTATACCATGATGCTATATAATTAATTTTCTTCTTTACATAAGGCTGTCATCTCAGGTGGGTGCATTTAAAAGTTTCTTGGTCTCAGATTACTGATGCCACAGTATTGAAATGAGATTGAATTAAACTTCTTTGGTCTCTTTTGGATGTTGTATAAACAGAAAAAAGAAACTAGGTCTCTCTGTGATAACCAATTGATGGGTAGGTATAACCATGGCTACCCCCACATGTTTTGCTGTGATCTGTCTCTTTGACTTCGTGCAGAACCTATTCTCTTTCATCTCCTGGACCAAATATGAGAGAAAGAAGTGGACATGTGGAAGGTTCTTCCTCCGTGAATAATATTGAAACAGCTCCATATTCTGGGGAAATACCCATGGTTCATTGTCTCATGCCAAGATAGAATTCAGGACACAGACACACAAGAAGAGTGGGTCTAGGAGTGGAAAGTTTAATAGATAAAGAAGAAGAGAGCAAGAAAGCTTACACATGTTGAGAAAGTGAGTTGCTCAAGAGAGGGTTTTCCAGGTTTGGGGCAAGATTTGATGGATTTTATACAGAGGCTTGAGGAGGTGGTGATTGATTTACATAGAGCTCAGGGGATTGGTTTAACCAGGTGTACTATTTACATAGCCAGTGAAAAGACTGGCCCTCCCACCCTAATCTTTTATTATGCAAACGCAGCTTCTACCTGGCTGTCACCATGACCTTGCACACGTGGCTTTACTTGACTGGCACCATGACACCCACACACCTGGTGACAAGGAAAAGGGAGCGGGAATTGCCATATTGAATGTGCCTGGCTTCCAGGTACAGCTGCTAGCTTTACATATGTGAGCCTCTAGCTTGCATATCTATGCTTGCAACTTGATTTTTCAGGCTGCTTTTTGTTAGAAAACAAATGGTTTGGGGGCCGCTTTTTATTAAAGGAAAAATTCACCGAGAACTATTTTACCCTTTCTAATGGCCTAAAATAAATTTTTAATGACTCCTGTATTAATATTACCAACTCTTGATTCCTCCAACCTTTAAACAAAGCTAGCAGATTGCTCATCTTGAATAGAAATAAAAAGTTAAAAAGTTGGAGTCCTTTAAAGCACAAACCATGACTTTTTATTTCTACTGATTGTGTAGATTGTCACTACTGTGTTTTGCAACAACTTTTACACGGGTTACTCAATAGTTGCTACAAGACAATATGCCTTACAATCAGAAAAAATAATATTAGCCAGAGATATTGTACAAAATATTTATTTTTTGGCAGTTTTGAATAAGCCATATGAAGTATTGTATATCCCTAATAAGGCTTAATGGATGGTATTCTAGGTGTTGGTGGTATCTGTATCTCAAAGAAAGAAAAAAAATAACATCACGCTAAACAGAAGTAATGCCTCTGTTTTCAACCTAATGCAACAATAGTTATCATTTCAATTAGGGTCCCTTTGCAAGTTTATGTGATTCGTTGCTTTGTAAAAACACAAAACACAAGGGAAAATTCTCATTTTCCAGCAAATACAGCAACTTCTATTATGCTGAGTTTCTAATAATGAGTTGCCATCAAATAAGTAATAAATAATTTCTTTGAAAACAAGATCTTTCTGTTTTAT